GGAAGGGGGGTGCAAGGGGGGGGAGGGGCGAGGACCGCTCTCCATCCTTGTTCTAACATTCCTTGTCTTTTAGGGGACTCGGAGGAGGAAGAGATGGGATTCCTGGAAGTCAGCGGGCTGGACCTGGAGCTGAACCCCCCATCTGAGCTTGGGCCGATGCCGGAGGGGCTCAGTGCCCAGCAGGTGTGTACGGGGTCACTGCTACAAAAACGGAACTCGTCGTCGGCCTTCGGCCATGCCAGGTTTTGGGGTTGGACGGGATCCTCTGCCGGGTCTGTTGTATGAATGTCCAGGTTTATTTATCACCGGCTGTGTCCCCATTGGGTGAATTTACCTTCCGTTCCTGTGTGGTCACTGGTGGCAAATGTACCCAGTAAGGACCCCAGTGGGAGGGGGTGACCAGTCTACACCCTCCCCAGCCAATTGGAGAGATCCCAGATATCAGAGGAGTCCCCCGCAGCCTGCCGTCCTGCATGAAGGGGCACTACAACCAGAGTACCGACCCCCGGCATATATAGGGGAGGACCATGGTCTCCGTTATTGAAAGTGATGAGAAAATCCAACACGAGTTGTCACCAGAACAGGAACAGAGGGGAAATCTTCCAATGGGGACACTAGTTCCGGTGACACTTGTCCTAAGAGTGGTGTTCCCTCACTTTGGAGACAGATACTTTCACTTCCTATTGTGTCTACAGAGCTTCTCTGGGCAGCCAATCAGCACTGACCCTTCCAGGAGCTGATTGGACGAAGCTGAAGTGTGGGCGGATCCCCGGGGGTTGCTACTTTGTCTAATTTTTTTTTAAAAAACTGTGTTTTTGCAGGTGCTGCGGCGTCACATTCTGACCTCCATCGTGCACAGCGAGCGCAGCTACGTGGAGTCCCTTAAGCGCGTCCTGCAGGTAGGTGTCACCCACATGGAGGGAGGGGGGAGGGGGGGGGATGAATGGCTATCATTCCGGATGTTTCGATGATGGTTTATTGGCCAATCACAGGACTAGAACCTCAGTCTGGGTGCGCCCCCAATGGGGGGAGAGTTACTACTTCTTCCTGCGTGGTTGCCAGAACAGGAAGTGAGTAGAATCTCCCGAACGGGGACACGCAGAGGTCAATGACAGCGGGGTCAGCAATGGCGGCTCCTCCAGAAGTCTCATTATTTGGTTGGCGTTTTCTCTCATCCTGTCGCCTCTTCCAGGACTACCGCTACCCCCTGCTGGAGATGGAGCCCAAACTTCTGAGCGCCCGCAAGTGCCAGGTGGTCTTCTCGCGGGTGAAGGAGATCCTGCACTGCCATTCGGTCTTCCAGATAGCGTTGGCCTCGCGGGTGGCGGAGTGGGACGCCACGGAGAAGATCGGAGACCTCTTCGTGGCCTCGGTAAGTGCCGTACAAAATGTCGGGGGGACAATCTAGTGGGGGCTCTCACTGAGGGTGTCCCCAAAAGATATGACCTTTAGAAGCCGCACGTGGGGGACACGGGATTTCACGATTGTGTAACGCTGGAAAGAGGAAGCGTCCGAGGATCTAAAATAAAATATTCATGTTAGTTTGTTGCTGACTCTGTACAGAGACTGATGTGACTGGCTCAGTGATCTCTGTACAGCGCTGCGGTATAGGTCAGAGCTATATCCATGTATAATAAGGAGAAGTGTTGGGTCTGTAGAAGTGGATTTGATGCGTGTCTCCTCTTCTCTGATCGCAGTTCTCCAAGTCGATGGTGTTGGATGTGTACAGCGAATACGTCAATAACTTCACAAACGCCATGAACCTGATCAAGAAGGCCTGCCTGACCAAACCCGCCTTCCTGGAGTTCCTGAGGGTGAGATGAGGGGCTCGGGAGGATAGAGGGATGATGGTGAAGATGATGGGTCTATGATGGATTGATGACGATGATTGATGGATGAATGGATAATGATAGATGATGGTGATTGATGATGGATGGAATGGTGGATGGATGATGGGTCTATGATGGGTCTATGATGGGTCTATGATGGGTCTATGATGGGGAAGATGATGGGGAAGATGATGGGGAAGATGATGGGGAAGATGATGGGTGGATGATGGTGAAGAATCTTCACCATCATCCACCCATCATCCACCCATCATCCACCCATCTTCACCATCATCCACCCATCATCT